CACTCCTGGGGGCAGCGCCTGGCACCACCTAGCACCCAGGGTTCCTTAGATAGCCCAACAGTAGTGACTAGTGTTGAAGGTCCTGTAATTTTCTTGGAGGGGAATGAGTGCCTGCCTCTTGGTAATACCCATTCTTTGAGTACCAACCATATAATCATCTAGGATCTTGTCTGAATGCTGGTGAAAGAGCAATTCAGTCCACTTTTGCTTTAAAACAGAAGCAGTTGGTAAGCGAGCTGACATTACGGGTTTGTCTAGGTCCGAGAAATTTTCTCAGATTTCTATGTAAAACGACATCATGAAGGGCCAGAGTCATTACTCTGGGAATGCCCGGGGGCATCTGAGCGCGATTCCTGGCTCCCTTCTGCATCCCGCTTCCCTCGCAGCATCTCCGTGGCTGTGCCAGGCCCGGTGTTGGCTGCTCCCACAGAGAAGCCCACAGTTCTCCAGGGCCAGGAGGACGAGTGAGAAGTCTCTTTGCCCCTGTTTTTGAGGCAGGGGTTTATGCCGGGGCTCCCTTTCGCAGCGGGCACATAACATATTCGCCTCCTCCTCTGAGTCTCAAAGAACCAGGATTCCCTGCCCTCCTGACCACAGCGGGGCCCCTCCCGCACTCCCGCAGCTCTCCTGGGATCCGAGGGCAGAACTGGAATCCTGGCCTTAGCGGCTGGCCACTCTGCTCAGGACACCCCTGGGCTGGATGGGAGCCTGGGTCACCCCAGGCAAGGTTAGGAAGTCAGAAAGGCGTGTGGCCCGCTCCTCGACTTCTGTGCACCTTGCTTGTCCTCTGGGAAGGGTTTCCCAGCCCAGCTCACTCAGGCCGTGATGCTGAAGGGGTTCAGCCAGGACCGCCCTGGGATGTGCGTTTGGACTGGGGAGGAAGACTGAAGCCCCCGGAGTCAGCTGCTCATGATGACATCTCAGGATGTGGCATCAGAGGAGGGAGGTCTTGGGCAGCGATAAATGTGGAAAATAATCCTCTTCTGAAATCACTCGGGTCATTCATTACTTACCAAATATTTATCGGGTACTCAGAACAGGAGCAGCAGTGCTGCACCGACCAGCTCTGGACACAGCGGTACTGGGTTCCAGAAAATACTGACACATGTTCTTTGGGGGCTTATGAAAACTAATTGTTTTATTGGAGTAGCGCTCGAGGTTTGCTCCATGCCCTTGACCTCTTCATAAGCCACCTGGCCATGCGTCATATAGAGATGTTCTGTTCCTACTATTGTTACCCAGGTGGCAGAGCACAAAGCTGACTAAAACTAATTAGAGTCAAATGAAATTTAATTTTTTAGCAAACAGTGCAATAATAGTTTGGTGTTTCAGGTATTGCCCTGTTGGAGACATCCTTTTTTTCTTTGCCTTCCCAGCATCATTTCTTTGGGTAACAGCACCCCGATTTCACCTTAAGGCACCCCGTTGCTCCCTTCAGTCCTTGATGATTAAATGGGATTGACTCACCTAGCGCCTAGTGCCAGGAGGGGGCATGCGACCTAGGCCTGGCCAGTCCGATCCCGGCATCTTCTTGGTCATAACAACTGGTTCGGACATGGACATATACGATCCATACGGGGCCTACACGAAACCTCCGCAGGATTCCCCAGGACAGTTATTAGGAAAAATAAGCTCACTCACTGGGTGGCAGAGCCTTGTTGAGAATGTGACCAACCCAGAGGGAAGCAGAGGCTAGTCACAGAGGTATTCCCACGTGGCCTGAGTGACTGTATTTAGGTCCATCTATGGAGTTTTGTTGATTTTTAGAGAGTGGAAGGGAGAGAGGTAAGGGGGAGGGAAAGAGAGAGAGGGAGAGAGAGAGAGAGATAAACATTCATGTGAGAGAGGCACATCCATTGGTTGCCTTCCACACATACCCTGACCAGACAGGGATTGAACCTGCAACCCAGGCACGTGCCCTTGACCGGGCATCAAACCCGAGACCCTTTGGTGCTCGGGCCGATGCTCTAACCACTGAGCCATACCAGCCAGGGCCATCTGTGGGTTTTTAATTTATATTATTCAGTATGTAGGCAGAAAGAGAGACACTCATGGTAGCTATAGTTCTGTTTTCATCAGCCCGTTAGAGTTGGGCTCCTTCATTAGCATTAATTCACCTGTCTTCCACTTTTACACTCCCAAGAATCAAAAGATGGTGATGAACTGCTTGCTGTCCACTCATTTTTTGAATGTCTAGTCAGCCAGTCACAGGCAAGCACCAGTGTGGCAAATGGGGCTGTGTTCAGGGTGAGCTCCGTGAGGAGGGCGGAGGCCTGAGGCTGCCGGCGTCTCCTGGTCGTCCGGTTCCCCAGCTCCGCAGGCAGTGGGAGCAGCACCGCAGGCCCCTCTTAAGCCCTGGCCTGTCCTTTCGAGGCGCCCAGCGTTTCTTCTTGCTCCGTGTCTGCAGAAAGGAAGGACAGCTCGAACTTCAAGCAGGGCTACGAGGGAGTGGAAGGATGACGCTGGCTCTCCCCCTCAGCCTTGTGACTCTGATCAATCAATGTTTTAAAGAAAATAATAGGCCAACGTCCCTGATGAACATAGATGCAAAGATCCTCAACAAAATGTTAGCAAACTGAATTCAGCAATGTGCCAAAAAGATCATACACCATGATTAGTGGGATTTGTTCCTGGAACGCAAGAATAAAAATGCAGCATTTTTGTAATTAAAAAGAAAAAAGAGTCCGGCCGGGCGTGGCTCAGCGGTTGAGCATCGACCTGGGATCCAGGCGATTGGGGTTCGATTCCCGGTCAGGGCACATGCCCGGCTGTGGGCTTGATCAATGACTCTCTCATCATTGATGTTTCTGTCTCTCTCTCCCTCTCCTTTCCTCTCTCTGAAATCAATAAAGATATATTT